TGTCTATTTAAATCCAAAGCAGCAATCCTAGATGTTCATGCATAAAATTACTTCCAACTGCCAATCTCTTTTTAAATAATTATAAGAATAAATGAACAGGGGCAATCAATAGACAGGAACAATCAAATCAAAGAGTTGTGCCATCGATCTTAGGTCCGGCCAGAATGCAACCAAATTCAAGATCTCATGTCGTCGATCTTAGATCCGACCAGGACAATTTTAAATTGAAAACCTCGCGTTGTCGATCTTAGATTTGGTTGAAGCGATTTCAAATTGAAAGCCTCACGTTGTTGATCTTAAATTCGACGGGGAAAAAAGCAATGACAATTGCGAAACCGACTCCTCTCGCAAGGAGAGGATGCCGGGAGGTTGCCAAAATCGTTCCATGAGATTGCCAAATAAAAGAAAAAGAAAAAGAGAAGAGAGAATAGGGATATTTTTTAGTTTAAAATTGGATCAAATTAAATTTTAAAAATTGGAGAGCGATGATTTAACAATTAATAAAAAATTGGTTAATTAATTAATTTAGAATTAAACATTGATTAATTGTTAATTTAATTAATTGATTAATTAGAATTTCAAATATAAATAAAAAATTAATAATTGGTTAATTAAATCTGAAATTATATTAATTAATTAATCAAATAATTTAAAAATATAATAAAAATTGAAATTTATTTTAGTTAATTAAACAATTAATCAATTAAGTTAAATTAAATTTGAAATCTCATTTAATAATTAATCAATTTTAAAGCATTATTAATTGAGCAATTAATCAATCGATCAATTAAAAATTCAATTAATTTAAATTTCATGGATTAATTAATTAAATTATATTGGAGCACAATTGAAAAAGAGAACAAAGATGGGAGAGCCACTTCGGTGAAACTATACATTTTGATTAAAAAGAGGGAAAATAAAATCATGTTTGCGCTTAAAAAAAAATATAAGTACAAATTTACATCAACTAAAACACCAAAGTCCTAAAACTAATACACCAACCAAACTCTCGAGCTCTTTAAGAAAACAAACTGAAAATCTCCAAAGCTCTCTAAATCAGCTCCTACCAGTGCAAGCTCCTGCAAACAAACGAGAGTTAATACTGTAATCAAAACTACCAAATGTAATCAAAACTACATTGCAAGAAAGGAAAAAAACAAGTACTGTAACAAAAACTACTGGTAAGAGCCAAGTGCTGTAACTAAAAACAATGCTAAGGAAAGAAAAGAAACTACTGCAATAAAAAGCATCAGAGTAATGATCTGTAAACTAAAGTAATTGCTGTCCGATCTTTCATAAAATCAAACATATGGCAACTTCTAAGTAGAGTCGTAAGTCCCATCATAAATTTAAACTCTAGGCAACTTTCGAAGGGAAGTCATATGATCTACCCAAGTAAATAGACAACTTTCAAAAGAAAGTTGTAAGACCTATCCAGTAAACAGACAACTTCAAAAGGGAGGCTGTAAGACCTATCCAAACAATCAGACCACTTTTAAATATAGAAGTAGTAAGACCAACCCACACAAAACCCCAGGCTACTTCTAATGTAGAAGTCGTAAGGCCTATCCAAACAAAAATAACCGTGCAACTTTCAAGGGAAGCCGTATGCCCCATTTTAAACAAAACGTACGGGCAACTTCCAAGGGAAGCCGTGAGCCCCGTCTGAACTTAAAATATACATGCAACTTTTAAACAAAGCCGTAAGCCCAGTTCTAAATTCAAACTTATGGGCAACTTCCAAGGGAAGCCATAAGCTTCGTTTTAATCAAAACCTACGGGCAACTTCCAAGGGAAGCCATAAGCCCATTCTTAAATCAAAACCTATAGGCAACTTTTAAACAAAATCGTAAGCCCCATTTTAAATCCAAGCTTACGAGCAACTTCTAAACGAAGTTGTAAGCCTTGTCCTATACTAAAGTTTTTGGGCAACTTCTAAATAAAGCCGTAAGTCTCAAACCAATTCAAATAACTGGGCAATTTCTAAGTCACAAGCTTTAATCGAAATCAATTGACTAAGTATTCTAATAGATGTAAACCCCAAACAATAATAAAACTACAACCTATATCTAATCACATTAGTTTACTCGGGATCCTTGAGAGGCAATCCATGGTTGCTAATCAGTTTCCTTGGATACTACGATTAACTATTGTTAGTTTTGATAGACTGCAATTCAAGGTATTCCCAGGACGACGAAACTATGAGATCTTGATCGGATCTATCTTTCTCCCCTACAAGTGAGACTAAAACATTCTAAAACTATTCATCCTTAATTGAGAGAGCACTCTTATGAGTAAGATGGGTAATTAACTATTAGAGCTTGCGCTCATCAGAAGGAGCAACCTAGATCTAATTAAGCCCTAAATACAATCTTTAGGAAAAATTTGGTTAACTATAATTTGCCTTAAGAAGAATGGAATCCTACATTTACAAAGTAGAATTCATGCTGAAGTGCTATTTTTCTTGAGCAAACATAAAAAAGGTTATTATGATTTGAAATTGAGCCAATAGTCTTGATTTGTCAGACTATGTGAATTTTTGTTTTAGATTGGCTTTGAGGCACAACTATTGATTACTCTATCTTCATCAAGCTTAATCCTATATTATTCATCATATTTTTTATTTTTTGTTGAAGATAAAATCCCAAAATAATCCCCTGATTATTTGCATGTGGTCAATTTAATCTCAATTTATCACATTTTTCTGATATAGTCATGTAGCAATTTTGACAAAATTAATCCCCATTTAGTCATTTGATTATACAAAATTAATCATAATTTAGTCCCAAGGGAAATTTTGGAATAATTTTGTATAATTGAGGAATTAAACTAGGGAATTATGATACTCTAGGATTAAGAATAGTTGGGATCCATTTTGGCATTACTAAATTTGATGACATTTTATCAAATTTGATCATCACAATATTTATTAAGTAAAACAGACCAAAATATTTGCTTGGAATTGAGTTTGCTTATATTACAAAGAATATCTTTTTCTTAGAATAAATATGTTATTATAGGACACAATGGAGGAAAATGATTCATGTAGCCGACCCCATGTAGTGGGACAAAGGCTTATGTTGTTGTTGAAGAAGTAGACCCTCTTGGCTATAAGCTTGTTGGTATACTTATGGAGACCAACGCAACAACTAATGATGATGAACCTCTTGTTGATCCATCTCAATATCACAAGTTAGTTGATAAGTTGATTTATTTGATTGTTATAACCTAATTTTGGTAGGTATATCTCATTCATCTTTGGAATGGCATGCAAAATTTGAATTAAATGGGAAACAATTTTTTGAGTCCTCGAATGAAAAAAAAAGTCTCCTAGAAAAGACTTTTTGTACATATGAAATCTGATCATCAGAAGGTTTAAGCTTTTTCCGTTGCTGATTTTGGTGGTATTGTTGAAGACTAAGTCAATCTTTGGATGTTGCATCTTTGTAGGAGGAAATATGATCTTCTTGAAAGGCAGGAAACATACGATTACAGTCAGATTGACTGCCAATATAGAACTACACATTTTACATGCAAGATGATGTGTGCTAATGATCTTTGTTTTCATGAATAATCTAAACATATTGAAATGAATTGTCATTTTATATGAGGTGTTGTACTTTTTGAATTTCATCTATTTAATGCATAGCAAATGACATTTTTACGGCTACTTTAGGCACGTACATTTTTCTCGTTTATATAAATTACCTGGAGCTCATAGATATATATTCTCCAATTTGATGAGAAATATTGTTGTGTTTAATTGTTGCTAGTCTATTAGGTAGTACTCTTGATACTGATAGGAGATTATATTAGTAAGATATCCTCACAATTAAGGGTATAATTCTCAATTATTTATTTCTTTGCCGTGTTCTCACACATTTATAAGCCATCTTCCCAGTTAATAATACACATTCTCATTTCTCTCAACACAGGTTATTCAACCTATGACCTTTACTGTATGTTAATCTAAAAGTTTTTTTTTTTTTTTTACACTATTTGCAAATATTATATCTGCGGTACGGATAACTTACAAAAAATTGTTCTGTTTTATTGCCTTTTGCAAGCATTAACTACGTATTTGTGCTTGTACATTATTGGTATTTGTTTACATAAAAATTATTCTATAAGTAGAGAACTTGCTGGTTGGGTTCTCTTTTTTTTTTTCCAGTTCCCTGACCAAAAAAAAAAAGCACGGCACGTAAACCTTTCCCTATTTTGAATTGAATGTGTTTTGCTAAACGTAGAACTTGAAAAATTCTCACTATGACAGCAGATCTTATTCCATTCAGGGGAAGTAATTACTTAAAAATGATCATGAATTTTCGTTTATATTTCCTATGTAGATGCTTTAATCGTTTGCTGAATTACGAAAGCTTAATAAGCTTAGAGGTAAGGCTCCTTCATTGAACATTTGATTAGTCAATGTGAATTAGCCTTTATTACGCCATAAGAGTCGGAGCAGTTCTATTCAACATTGAAATTTCAAAATTTTTTTAAACTGTGATTATTTGTTTCATTTAAGGCAAAAGGACTGTAAACAGAATCTCTTATAGAATATCGGTAGCATAGTTTAAATAAAACTGCTGAAAAATGCTTCATGATTTAGGTGAACAAACTAAGCAGTATAAGAGGTTTTGCTTCATCTTTCATCTATACCACCATTTAATTTGTAGCTTGACATTTTACTGTAAAATAATGTAGCAATACTAATACATTTTTCTTTGCGGAGTTGTTTTATCTTGTATGTTTGTTACACATGTTGTCGACAAGATTTGGATTTGCTTCTCGAGTAACAGCATTTTTACTTTATTGTTATTCCTCGACATTATGGTTTTATCTTATATTGTTTGACATAATTTACGTGAATTTGGGGATATCTCTCATTTTACAGCAGTTTACTTCAATTTGTTCTTTCCCAACTTTATGTGACAAAATTAAGATCTTGCGCTTTAGAATTTGAACTTCTGTTTGATTCCATGCCAATTTCGTTGCTGCAGAAAAGCAACTACTGAAATGATGTGCATGCGTTGTCTAATTGTCCAGCCGATTGGGCCAACATGTAAAACACCTTCCTGCAGTGGATTTTCTATGGCAAAGTACTACTGTAATATTTGCAAATTTTTTGACGATGAAAGGTTAGTGATACATAGCATAAAATTTTTTTAATTATTTTTTTACTTTTTAAACTCTTTTAAATTATGCATGCTCTTTGACAATCAAGCTAAAAAATCCTCATTATTCAACGTCACACATGTTAAATGTCAAATGTCCCTGATATACGTGATATGGAGCTCAAACTCTATTTTTGTTGTAGAAAATGCAAGCTTGTTACGTTGTATCAGTCTTTACTTTTATGATTTGCATTTATGTGAGCTAGAGTTTGTACTTGGCAGCTTTTATGATTTGCATTTATGTGAGCATCACAGCTTGCACTGATTGTACTGTACAATAATTGATCTTTGTGTGGAAATTCTCGTCCCATAGATGACTGTGGACAAGCTGCCAAGCCCAAATCTTGGAGTACTTATAGCTTCTGATTTTTTTGAGTTCAAATTGAAAAGTAGTGAGAAGGCTTGTAAGTCATAGGGATGATTAAAACTGCTGCAGCAATCCTGGAACTTAATCAGGAAATTTACATGGAGGAGGAAGCAATCAAAGCCATTAATATTATAATATGGAAACTTGCGCAGCTGCAGCCTAGGACCCCTCTCTGATTTATTCCCAGCTATTTTGGTCCGTTCAATCTTGGAAAGGGGCGGTGGCTACTTTTTTAGAAACCTGGTTTGCTTGTTACTAGTTTCCTTTATGAGAATGTTAATATTATCTTTATTTCCCTTGATTTGTACCTACTGCTTATCCTTCTTTTTCCACATAATTGGTCCTTGTATCTCTCTACCCATTAGCTTGATCATTGGAATAAGATTCAAGAATCTCTCACTATGTTATTCCTACAAGTCTTTTCTTCTTGATATTTTATTTTTGATCACGGTAGTAGAGCATACTACATGGACCTTCTTATCCCTCTTTAGTCTCCAATTTCTTCTCATTGTTCTTCCTCTGTCTTAAACAAGATTATTGTTGAGCACAGAAAGAAATTTGATACAAGCTTCTTTTTCTACGCTATCTCCATCTTTGAAACAATCATTAATGGCAACATCAATAGCCATGAAGGCTTCTCCAATCTGCCAATTATTGGGCACAAAATGAAAAAGCAATACTATCTTGGTCTCAATCAATTATGATTTTTGCTAACTGGACAAGCAAAGATTATTACTTCACTGATGTGGCCATTTCTCCACAAAAGATTTAAAGTTCATAATATTGAGAATTAAATAATATTAGCTTATTAACATCATAAAAAAAGAAATTGGTTTGAAAATAAAATTTGGGATGCTAGAGAGGAGGCGTACTTGAACAATAAAAATAGTGCCAAGTTGCTTAAAATCAGTGGTGCCTTACTTGATCTTGTTCAAGGTGATCTTTGTATCATTCAATATCAGAATACTCTTCTCATATATTGGTAGCAATTGGATGTTTTTGAAGAACTAGATTGGGAGTTTTTAAAGGATGTAATCAAATATAGAATTTTTTTTAAGAAAAAAACATGATATCAAATTTTTGTATGTATTTTTGATGATTGACATATTTAACTTTAAAATGACTTAAAGATATTTAGTAATAAAGAAGTGTTGACCACTAACTAGCCACGAATGGCCCCACTCACGTATAATCAGCCAATTGGCCCCACCTCAGCACGATCTTCCAAAGCTACACAATTATTCGGCTTAAACGTTTCAACCACTCATGACTCCTTTCAATAAAACACACTCAAAAATTGCACGGAACTTCACTGGTATTTGAACTCATGCACAGAACTGTCGACTCTCCCTTTCGTCTTCTTCATTCGCACGCACGACTCTGCTCCCACGCCTCCAACCTCGACCCTGTTTGCTCGATCCCGGACTCCCGCTTCTGCAAACCCCCTGCACGACCAGACCCGCCTACCAGCCGCGATTTGATCCGCTCTTTAGCCTCGACCAATCCCGTCTCCAAATTAACTTCGCTCATCCATATAGTGGCCGCCTGTCCACCATTTTTAAGCTCTTCTGGTGCAAGTTTAATCCTTACGAGTTGATCATCATAAGTATCAATTTCATATATTTTCACCTCGCTGTTGTCATCAGATTCAACTTTCTCTCACGTGATTGCGCAACAAATCTCCTTCCGAGGTACTTTTGCACAATGAATCGAGACCTCTTCTTGCAAGGATATCACGTCTTCATATTACGTGAGGATTTCTTTGGTACCATATGCCATGTGGAGACAACCTTGCCATTTAGTAGTACTGACATGAGCCCTTTGTTTCTGTAGCATTCTTCGAATATTTTTGGGACAATACCTAAAACCTCTAGCCTCCCTTAACAAAAGAAAATTTTAAATATAGGCACTCATAATTATTTCAGTGTGGCACATCTGAAATTCGAAAAATTTGTTCTAATGGGATTTTTTGTTATCTCTTGCTTGTTTTTGCTACTCTAGTTAATTCAATAACAGAGTCAAGAAGTATATAAATAACTTTTATATTAAGTAAAAATTCTCCTTTCGATGTGGAAATGCTTTCTTCTTTTTCTTCTTCTTTTAAATTCTTCAGTATCTTTGTTGAAGTGTAAGACTTGATTCTTAGATTCTCATTATTTACTCATTTTCTCTTCTTTATTCAGTTATTGGTTAATTAGGATGACGGTGATGAACTACTCAGTTATTGGTTGCAAATTATTTGAATTTAAGTTGGCTGACACATCCCAGTTTTTAGTTGCGTGCAATAATATTTTTATTAGTGTTTTTCATCATCATCATCGTTACCCGCCTTGTACCTAATCCCAAAATTCTTATTATTACTTTTATGACCTCAAATTCTTATGCAGGCCTCTCCTAAGACATTCAGGGCTGCTTCACCTGGATTTGAATTCTGTGTTCTCTAAGTTCAAAACACTAGCCCTTCATACGTCATGCATAAAACATCATGATTATGTTCTTAAAATCTGACAATGCCAGTCAAGTTATCTCCGCTCTACCTGCATGAATTGCTTATATGTTTTGTTTCTATGTTTTGTACCAGCCTTGCACTTCTTTAATCACCACTATCTTCATATTGTCGACCTCTAGCGAAAAAGAAACGTTCCTTCTGAAACCCAAGTGGCTAGCTTCTGCTTTGGTCTAGTTCCATCGTAATTCAACTTTCCCAAATTGTTCATTAAGGCTTTGTTTGGGACAGCTTTTTTACTGCTTCATAAAGCAATTTTTTAGTACAAAATTTTTAATTTTTATATTAAAAAGTTGCTTTAAGAAGAAATAAGAAAGCTGTTCCAAACAAAACCTAATTGCATTTCTTGCACATCCTGTGTTTTTCCATCAAATATACTTCACAAAAGGTGAATAACACACATGATACCTTAGGTGGGAGGGATTTTATTGCTTTAGGTGCCACATGAAATCATACTTCAAAGTTTTTTTTGATGGTGGGATGATAATGTTTTAAATGTTAAATTATGGGTTTGATACTTTCTTTCTAATGAATGTAATATTTTCTGCAGGACGGTTTATCATTGCCCATTTTGCAATTTGTGTCGTGTTGGCAAAGGACTCGGTGTGGATTTCTTCCATTGCATGACATGCAACTGTTGCCTTGGAATGAAATTAGTTGAACACAAATGCAGAGAAAAAGGATTGGAAACTAATTGCCCCATTTGTTGTGACTTTCTTTTTACATCTAGTGCTGCAGTAAGAGCTCTACCTTGTGGTCATTTCATGCACTCAGCTTGCTTTCAGGTATATATATTGCTTATATGTTGTTTTTGTCAACGTTGAAGTTCTCCTCTTCCATTCCTTTTACTTCCGTTTTGCATTTTTAGGAGTTTAAGATAATTCAAAATTTGAAAACCATCCATCTTCACTCTTTTTTGCACAGGCCTACACTTGTAGCCACTACACTTGCCCAATATGTAGCAAGTCTTTGGGAGACATGGCGGTAAGATAGTATTTTTTAATTATATTCTGAGGAAATTTCTATTTGTATTTTATTTATAACTTTTTTTCTTGCATTATTATAAGAATTTCATATATATGTAAAATTTCAACAACTTGGATCATGAACTTCTTTTCTTGAATGATTTTTTCCTTTGATTGACTTGTTAGATGGCCAGATGTCATGTTTTGTTGTATCTTTCTTTTTGTTAATTGCATCCTTCCTTTTGTTTTAAATCCATGCTCAGGTATATTTTGGCATGCTTGATGCATTACTGGCTACTGAAGAGCTTCCTGAAGAATATAGGGACAAGAGCCAGGTGATATCATGCTCATTTTTCTCTAGGAGGATTTTCATGCATACCATTTAATTTTTATGCATTTATGCATCTAACATTAAGACTTCGTTTGGGGCGGCTTTCTTATTGCTTCTTAAAGCAGCTTTTTAAAATCTTTGTACTAAAAAACTGTTTTATGAAGCAGTAAGAAAGCCGTCCCAAACAAAGCCTAAATCTTTATATATATTATAGCATCTCAATCTCTAAATGATATGGACAATATCAGTAATATTACTTTATCTAAAATGAAATATAGAAATGTTATATAAATAAACATATGGATTTTGATTTTAGATATATAAATACATTATAAAAAGCTGAAAAGTTCCATGCTGAATTTCTCCAGGATATACTGTGTAACGACTGTGATAGGAAGGGGGTATCTTCATTTCACTGGCTTTACCACAAGTGCGACTTCTGTGGTTCATACAACACACGAGTGATCAAGACTGAAGCCCACTGCTCAACGTCTAACAATTGAGTATCATCCCTTCCTTCATCTAAGGCTTCGTTTGGAGCGGTTATTTTTTTACTGCTTCTTAAAGCAGTTTTTTAGTACAAAATTTTTAATATTTGTACTAAAAAGATGTTTTAAGAAGCAGGAAGAAAGCCGTCCTAAATAAAACCTAAGTCTAAAATAGAGAAAAATTGGGATAGAATATTTTGATCAAAATTTAATTCAAATGAATTTTGAAATCTTGAAATTTGTTTTAAGTTGAGTGCAATATATGAATAATGAACTCTTATATTGTATTCATCTCAAAACAAATTTTAAAATTCATCAAGATCAAATTTTAGTCTGGATATTCTCTTCCATTTTTTCTCTCTCTAAGTTTTCCTCTTTTTTTTTTTTTTGAAATTGTGTAAATATAAAATTTTAAACATCTACAGCTAGCCAATTCATTTATTAAGAAAATGGAGAGAAATCTTCGTAGTTGCTCTTGTGAAATTTCTGGGTATTTTTATATGAATCCCTTGATGTTTCACAAGGTGCAACCCTAATTTATTTCTTCTGATCGCACTTATTATTATTTTTGCCTGTTTTGTAAATATGACCATTTAGCACATTAGCTTAAATTTTTTTTTGTGACGAGAAAGCACTGTTTTTTGGCCAGTCAAAACTCCGGTCGATCTAACATGCAACCCACACCAATTTACACGGGCCAACACTTAAGGCTTTCACTGCTTGCCAAGGGATTCGAACCAGGGACCTGGGCGCTCCTGGTTCGAATCCCTTGGCAAGCAGTGAAAGCCTTAAGTGTTGGCCCGTGTAAATTGGTGTGGGTTGCATGTTAGATCGACCGGAGTTTTGACTGGCCAAAAAACAGTGCTTTCTCGTCACAAAAAAAAATTTAAGCTTTTTTTTAAAAATAGTTTGTTGTATATTGTTTTTTAATAATTAAAAAATGGTAGCAAAAAATTATATCAAATGAAGCCTTGTGAATTGCCCCAAAGTGTGATATTGTCAACTCATGTGGAAAGAAAGGATGAAATGTTGACTCTTTCGTCCTTTTCTTTAAAAAAATTTACATATATAACATCTGAAATTATATATATTTATATAATTAATAGTTTATTTTTTTAATTATTTATATAGCACTCAGTTATGTAAGTAATATTATAAATATAACATGCTAACCCCTCCAAGTGGAACTTTTCTCACTCATGCACCATTGATCTTCTTATCTCTCCTTTATTGTGAAGGTTCTGCATACGTCGATCTTATCAATGCTCTTTGATTAGTGAAATTGTATCATGACTTTATTGAGACTTCTTTTATTTATTTATTTATTTATTACTTTCTTGGTCAAGGGGTTATTTAGTTGCTTAAAAAAAGAATGTAGTGTAAAAAGATTGCAGTATAAAAGAAATATTTTGGAGTTATTTTGATAAATATAAAATAAATGTGTGATATTATTTTTAGTTTGTTTGGTTTGAAGTAAAAGTGAATGCAATGTAAAAAGCAAGAAGGTTGTGGTTGGGATGGTCGGTAGTAGCTGGAGGCGGCAGTTGGTGATGATGCATGGCAACGGTTGTTGGTGATGATGCCCAGATAGTGGTGGTGCTTGACTATGGCGGTGGCCGATAGAGGTGCTTGGCGGTGGTGGTGGCCAGTGATGACGCTCAACAGTAGCAGTGGATGGCCAGCTGTTGCAGAGGTGGTTGGTGGTGGTGGAAATAGTATTGCATTTGTAGTTTATTCTGAAGTTGGCTAAATTAGAAGAATTCCAATAAACTACTAGGGTAATACTCTTTTTTACATTATCATTTTACTTTACTTTAAACCAAACATAAATTTTTAAAATCCATTCATTTGGATTACTTTATACCAAAGGCAATCAAACAACCCTTAAGAGTTAATGGAGAAATGAGATTTTCGAGGATAGATGCTACTGTGATAATTTACTAAATATAAATATTTTGGTGTTTGATATGTAATAAATTATTATTTTTTTAAGTATTATGTGCGTTAATTTCTCATTTCTTTTGTATAAATTATTATTATTTTTTTAATATTATGTGCGTTAATATCTCATTTCTTATGTACATGTATATATAGCAAATAATAGTTTAACCAAAGTAAAATTTAAGCATAAATATCCTATCAAATAATAAAAATGATAATTTATTAATTTGATGATTCCAAATAAAAAAATGATAGATTTAAATCTTTAAAAAAAGTTCAATCCCTTAAAATTTTTTGATATTTTCTTAATTTGATATTTAATTAATTAATAATTAATTATGATATTAATATATAAAATTTACTTATAATTTCTAATTTAAAATTTATAACATGTTAACAAAATAATACATATTTGCACCTTTTCTTCTCTTCGTCCCTTTTTATAACTTGTTAACAAAATAACAAAAACCCCTTTCAGTATTGCAAAATACGTTAATAAATAATTTAAAGGCTTTATCAATTTGATTTTGTTTCATTTTTATTGTTGTATCTACATCTCAAATGATTTTATAATTAAATATTATTTGTATTTCAAGTTTTAAAATTTTTGGAAGGGTATTCACATTTTCCAAAGTAAATTTGGAATAAAACCTAAAAATTATTATTTTTTTAGTTATATATTAAACAAAATTTGACAAATTTTTAAAGATTTGTGGGTTCATTATTTCTCAATTTAAAATTTATAGCATATTCTTAGCATATATAATTTTACACATGCAAAATATATATTTTTTTATACTTAGAAGCACTTAAAAAGATACTAAAAAAATACTATTACTACTGGACACCCGTCGTGATTGCAATGCACTACAAGGATATTCCGTGGAAATTTTAGGACCGGCAGGGTAGAAATAATCAAGTGCTAAATTTTGTAGCGGTTTTAACTGCCACAAGGTTACAAAAATTTTAAATTAAATTAAAATTAATCTCCTTACAAAATAATCATTACATTTGAGAAGTTTTAATTATCTATTTAAATTTTAAATTAAAAATTAAACACCATACAAAATAATATATATATATTGATACGGCATCACAAAATCATCTTGATCGGGCACGAATCTCGAGGCAAAAACTAGTTAGAAACTTCAAAAAATAATTTCAGGAGCATATGAACTTCGATTTCAGCGAGCTTACAGTCAAACTGAGCGTCTCGGAAATACGAACCCAACGACACCAAGATGAACCCAATCCGAGCCCAAATGAGTCTGAATCAAGGGTTCAAAGCACTGTTGGAAGGTTCAAACTGCATTCTGAGTTACCAAACGGTCTCCGATTTTGACGAGCTTATACTCGAATCGAACGGCTCGACGAGAAGAATCCAACGAGCCCAAGATCATCAAATTCCGACATCATTAAGGCCTTCAAATGTCCAACGAACGGTGCATGATCAGAGGATTCGATATCGACCGTCCA